ATCCCAGTCATCTTGGCAGCTACTACAAAACTTTTCCAATTCCTGTACAAGTGTCCAATTGTACTTTTCTACAATCCCATCAGACTGTGGGTGAAGTGGCATTGTCCTGGTCTTTCGGATGCCAAACAACTTGCAGCATTCTTGGAACACGGATGATTTAAAGTTACGGCCTTGATCTGAATGCAGTTCGTATGGCATACCAAATCTGAAGAAGAAATCACTAATAACTGAAGCTACAGTTGTAGCTTCCTGATTTGGTATTGCATATGCCTCAGGTCACTTGGTGAAATAATCCATCACCACACAATTGTACCTGTTTTCAGCACGAGTTTGGGGCAAAAGACCAGCAATGTCAATGGCTACTCTTTCCACTGGTGTGCCAACTTAACATAACTTCATTGGAGCACGTCCCTTATGCTTAGTTCCCCTTTTAGCACAACATGTACTGCAGGTCCTGCACCATTCTTCCACATCTTGCCTCATACCTATCCAGTAAAATCTGTGTCGTAGGTGACTCAATGTCTTCTTAACTCCGAGATGTCCTCCTGTTAAACTATCATGGGATTGATGCAGCACAACTTCCTGTAACTTTCTCGGTATAACTGTTTGCCAGGTCGTAACTTTCCCATCTGCAGTTTCCCATCTCCGGACAAGAATACCATCTTCCAGCTTCAACTGGTTCCATTGTGCCCAATAGTTTTTTGTCACAGGGCTTAAGCTAGACACCTTCTCCCAAGCAGAGTGCAAAACACTTGCTTTTAGAAAATCAATTATTGGCTTCAAATCTTGGTCTTTCTCCTGTTCTGCTTTAATATCTATATTTGGTTCCACTTCACCATCATTAACTCCTTCAGTCGCTTTGACTTCAGCGTGATGACACCTGGTTAGTTCAACCTCTCTTTTGCAGCAATGTCTGCAGTCATCTTTGCAGAGTCTTTGGCTCAGTCCATCAGCATTACCATGAGATTTTCCTTCTCTATATTCAATATCATAATTATACTGGTCTATTTTTTCCGATTCAATGTGCCAGTTGTCCCTATGGGTCCTTTAATGATCTTAACCAGCATAATGCAGCATGGTCTGTCCTAATGGTAAAACTAGCCCCATAG